GAGGATGTTGCTTCACTGGCCCAAGTTGGCACCATCATTGCGCTCTTCCCGGGCGAGGCAGATCAGTCGCCGGCTTCTGCACGGCCGCTCACTGCTGGCCGCTCACGCTGGCTGCCGGCCACACAGGGCAGCCCATGGCAACCCACTACCACAGGGGCTGCAGCCTACGCCGTCGCCGGTGACTCACGGCAGCCCAGCTCCAGGTTGAGCTGTTGTTCAGCATCTTAGCTGTGGAGGGCAGCTTCACTGGCCCTCATTTGTGGGATCTGAACCGGGGCCCTCTGGTGTCCCAAGCCAGCTCTTAACCATCGTGCCACTCGGCCAGCCCCCTCATCCTCATTCTTAATACAAGGAGATGCAAGAGCCTGACAAGTATGTTGACACCTGTTGTCATTTTAAAGGTCCGAAAAGACCCTCCCACTTATCAGAGCTATTTTTCATGTAGTAAATGGGTAAGATTCCTGATAGGAGCCTATATCCCACACAGGCAGTTTAATCGCTTGTGTGCCCAGCTATTGTGCGAAGCTCATCCCAAAATGCCCTTCCTCTCCAAACTTTTCCTCTTCCTCGAAATGTAAAGCCTCTGGCATTGCAGAGAGCCAAGCACTCTTTTGGCCATCGTGAGAACAAGCCAAGAGACTGATGTGAGAAAGAAGTGCCACTCCTGACAGGGATGACTTACTCCTGCCAAGAAATCAGGGGCATCCTTCTTGGGGCACAGAAATGATCAAGAGGCGGTTTCATCAGAAAGTGTTTTGTGGCAACCCAGTTAAGCGATCTGGGGGCACCGCTGTGGTGCCGAGAGCAGCAGCAAGCACCGTGGTTAGCCAAGGGCAGTCCTTGGGGGTTCTGGACAGCTTCTGCCAGCTCTGCCATTGTCCCCGTGTTCCCCCGGGAAGAGATCCTTACCGCGATGGACACGAGAAAAAATTCACAATTTAGGAAAGTTCTCTGCTTGCTGATCCTGGGACATTCCCAGAAGGATTTAGGAAAGCACTCTGAGGAAGGAAATGAGGTTTTCTTGCTGCTGAAGATGTCTTACCAGCTCTTTTCCAAAAATCAGCGCAGTTGATTTTGCACCGTTTGTATTGGCTCCGCTTCTATTTCCTGTTGCCACTTCTCCCAGATACCAGCTGAGCTAAAGAACCAACAAAAATAAGCAATCTTCTGCAGCAAAAACATTTGGTTTCCTCTCCCTTCTCCCAGCTGGCTGGAGGGCTCCCGCCCTTCAGAATTCCTGCTTTGCCCTCCCGTTTAGCTGGTGCTGTCGTCTTGTCCGCTTTGCCTGGGGGAGTCCTGAGATCTAGATGGTTTATTCTTAGGGTCAGGTTGGCAGAATCTTAACCACCTTCCAAAGGAGTCTATTACACTGCCCTCCTCCCCTCATCTTCCTGTCATCCTCTCTTATAATCCTCCGAGGATCATCCTGTTAGCATGGGGTCTTAGAACTCTCTTCGGGCTTGTTATGGAAGCAAGGACTTGAAGAGCTGTGGTAAGAGGCAGAGTTGGCACTGGGAGAGGGCAGTGATGGATTCTGAGTAATTTACAGTCATTTTTGTTTCACTTCATCTCAGGGAAGTTCATGTTCAGAGTAAACAGCATTATTGACGTATCATTTGCATACCTTAAAATTCACCCATTTAAAGTAAAAACAATTGGATTTCTAGTAAATTTACAGAGCTGTGCAATTACCACCACACTCCAATTTTAAAACATTTCCATGATCCTCCAAAGCTCCCTCATGCACATTTGCAGCCAGCCTCCACTCCCACCCCTAGTCTTAGGTAACCACTGTTTACTTCCTGTCTCTATAGATTTACCTTTTCTGGATGTTTCATATTAATGGAATCATACACTAGATAGATGGTCCCTTGTGTCTGGCTTCCTTCTCTGGGCATAATGTTTTTGAGGTTCCCCCATGTAGCATGTACTAGTACTTCATAGATATACCACATTTTGTTTATTTACATTCCATGTTTGTTAGTTTTTTTAATACTGCAAAATAGGCCTAAAATTACCTTTCTGGTGTATTTGATGATTCATGCAGCTGTCATTGGTGTGAGTGTATCTGATAGAGGGAATGATTAATGTACTGATTTGCAGATTGACTTTTTAATCTTATCTACACTGCAGTTAAAATACATATTAAGTGTGCAAAGTCTTTGAAGTATTTCTTTTTGGTTTTTAGTTCCCAAGAACATACTCACAGCAATTGACCCAGCTATTGCTAATCTGAAGCCTTCTCTGAAGCAGAACGATGATGAATATGGTAATTTGTATGGCTCACTACCAGCATTTCTCTTTAAGTAAACAGCCCCATGTGACTGTAGTCAAGTGCACTTTGGTTCGAATGCAAAAAGGTGTCAGGAGGTGCTGTGGCTAATAGTTGCAAATGGTGGCCGCCATTTTGTTTTATTTTTTAACTTATAGGTAGAATAAGCCCTTCTTCCATACCCCTCTTATATCCTAGGAGAAAAATCAGATAGAAAGAGATCTGCTCAGAAATAAACGTGAGGTTCTTGGATTCTAGGATGAGCTTGTTGGAAAGATGACCTATGAGGAACCTGGGTGGGCCAGAGCCAGCCTGGACCTGCGGGCCTGCGTTCTCACGCCGCCTTCTTCCTTAGGCTCTCACTGGACTTCTGTAAATGGGGTGGGGGCGGGGAGTGAACATTTTGGTTTTCTTGTCAAATCTAGAATGGATGGGTCTCCTGATAGAAGCTACAGAGACCCTGTCGACCATCTAAAATGTTGAGCTTTGGGTGCTGAGAGTTTTCTTTTGTGTTACTTTTATCACATAGATGGAGTCTTTTCCCCCTAAGTACAAAAGTAAAGTATTCCCGATGTGGAAAACACAGGAAAGCACCAAGAAATGGAAATCACCCCAATCTCAAAGCTTAGATAGAGGTCACTCTCATTGGTATTGTATGTTCTGGCTCTGTCACTGCAGCTTTCTGTCAGGCTCTGTGTCCCCACTGCTCCTCCCAGCAGGGCCCCTGCCCACATCTCATGATGCTCCTGGTCACCCTGGAGCCCAGGCCCGAGAGCTCTGTGCCATCCTTCCATGGAGGCTTCTCTGCCCTGTCTGACACCCCCAGGGGCCCCCAGAACCCCAAGACTGCCCCATGGGGAGCCCCCCAAATTCCATCACAGCAGTTTAACCAGACATCTGGAACCAGGTCTGCCCTCTGTTTTGTTGTCATTTCCAAAAAGGTAACCCAACACAACCCCCCTCCCTAATTTGAGGTGGGTCTTATCTGTGGTCAACAGAGCAGAGAGCAGCCCTGTGGTTAAGACATTGTTAGACATGATGACTGTCACTGCCTTGAGGATGGGAAGATACATTTGTGCCCTTCTGCGTGGAGTGGCTGAGTGGCACCTGAAGTTGGAACCAACACGTTTTAGAATTGCTAAATCCCTTTTATCATTGACTATTTTCAGGGACTACTTACTAACTGCCCTTCCTGGGTTAGTCTTCCATAATTTAGTCAGGGGCCCATTATGATGTTTTATTTATTATGGCAGCATACTGTGAACAACTGTGATTAATAGGTCTTGCATTTTTTATGAAACAGGTATAAACTTTGACCCAAGCGAATCGAGGGTTCTGAGGAAAGATGGGGTCATCGTTAGCAACTCTCTGGCAGCGTTTGCTTACATTAGAGGTAGGTCGATGAATTGAAGCGTCTCAGCATGCTAATGGATTTACTAAAGTCTACTAACAAATGCTCTATTTCATCATGACCCTCAGATAGATAAAGAACAATGACTATAAGTTTGACACGGCAACTTGTAGTCTTCTGAGATGTGGAAACACAGAGGCCTGAATTCAGGTACAGTTCCAACCAGACCACCGACACGAGAACCACATAGGGAGGCAGCAAACAGAGAAAGTCACACTACTTAGGAGTCAGCTTCCATGGGTATTTCATGCTTTGAAAAGTAGGAACCTGAGGAATGCATTTCCCAGCTCTAAAATTTGGGAAGGGCATAGGATTAGTGAATTCCACCCTCGGCTGAAAGAAAACTGAGCCAAAAGATCACTTAGTAAACAAAACCAGTCATGCCGTGTAAAGACAGAGTGCCTTTCTGAGTCACCAGTGTTACTTCTCATGGATGCCAAGAGCTCCTGTGATAATCTCCCCCTCCCTTCCCCCAGGATCAACCAGGCTCAGCCCTCCTTCATGAGACCCAGAACTGCTCACCTGGGAGTGGGTGGAGCTTGCCATCTCTCCTCGCCACCCTCTCTGCCCATCTTAGCAGAGACCATATTTTGGAATGTCAACTCTGCAAGTTTCAGCAATGCCCACCTGACTGTTCAGGGAGGCCAAACCCTCCAAGGCCTTTTGTATCCACGTTGATAACGAACTATGGTATTACTGTTCAAGGCCTGCGGGAGCGGGGCTGTTTGGGGTGAGCCTTCCTCAGAGGAAAATAAAGGCTTAAGGAACCTTCTCAATGAAGGACATAGGGCAGTCTTGGGATTCTCTGCCATTACGTCATCTTCCCAAGTCAGTATTCCTCCTGCGTGTTTGTTGTATGGTTGTTGGTTTCCTCTGAGACTCTTCTCTTTTCTAACCACCCTCCCATTTCCATTTCTTGCGGTTACCGATAATTGTCAACGTTAAGAGATGTAAGGACTTTTATTGTTAAAAGTATCCCCATACTTTCAAAGTCCCTGGATAGCCCCTTGGAAGAAAGTCCTCAGGAAAATCCTCCAAACAGAGAATAACGATTAAAGAGGAGAAAAGATGATCCCATTCACTGTGCGGCAGCCATTATGGGCCTTCTCAGTTCCTCTCAACATCTGCCTTGGTCGGCTCAGGCTGCCGTAACAAGATATCACGCTGGGGGCTTAAACCACCGAAATTTATTTTTCTCATTATTCTGGAGCCTGGAAGTCCTTGATCAAGGTGCTGGCAGATTTGGTGTCTGGCGAGAGCTTTTTCCTGGCTTGTAGATAACTGCCTTCTTGCTGTGTCCTCACATGGCAGAAAGAGGGAGAGAGGGACAGAGGGA